AGGGGGAAGGGGGTAAAATCGGTAGGAGTGATGTGTAAGGCTCTCTTGCTGGATCAGCACTCACACTGGTGAATGTGACAGTTGGGACAGGGGCAGACCAGGTCGGGCAGGGCTACAACACTTGTTGGCTTCATGTGAGCTGGATCAGCGGAAAGTCAGGCTGGGTTGACTAGTCCAACTGGTACATATACAAGCCAGAGTGGGATTGGGTTGGTTGGGCTTTGCTGCAGCATGGGGGACAGGTGCTGGCATGGGGGGCAAACTTTGTCAAACTTTGGGGGGCAAACTTTCTCACGTTTGTCAAGAGTGGAGTGGGTCCAGGAGGGAAAGAGTGGACACCTCCCTCTTGGGTTGCCACTTCAACTGGTGAGCATGAGAATCAGGACTAGGGGTAGGCATGGATAGACAGAGAGTGGCACCTGCTGGCACATGTGTGGACTGGATAGTGGTGCTGGTTGAGTTGAACTAGGCTTCAAGGCAAGGGAACCAAGGGAGGGGGCAGGTCTGGTGGGGGTAATTGCAGGTCACTCCACCTAGGCTACAGCTCTCACTGGTGTATGTGAAGGCTGAGTGTGTGGTGGGCAGGATCAGGCTGGGTTGTAACACCCATTTGTTTGTGTAGAAGACAGGGCTGGAGACAGGACTGACCCAGCAATTATGCACACCCACCAGTGTGTGCATAAGCTGATTGGAGCGATGCACTGTGCCAGACCCTGTATTGTCAAGCACACACAAGAATTAGGTATGGGATTATCTCAGATGAGGTTTCTTTGGGGATTCTCCCAATTTAACTGCTGGAATAAGAGCTCCAACCATGGGGAGAATTGCAGGTTCTGTAGTCTGACCACGGAGTGCATGTGTCATAGGTGGGCCTCCTCAGTGGCTTAGAACCAGCAATAGACAGCACATCCGGGTGCTCAGGGAGGATATGGCAGTACACTGGAGTCTGCCATATTGGTACCACAACAGAGGACGGAGGACAGAACAAACTGATCAACTATCTCAGCCAAGTGTTGGTGCTGAATATCTGGGCAAATGGAGACTCTAAGTTGGACTATGTCAACCAGTGGATTCTGGAGAGATTTCATTGTGCTTGAAATGGTGAGATCGGCAGTAATTCAGAAATGTTGAACTATTGAAACCTCTTGAGCAGGACCCTAGGAGCATACCCCACATCGGGGTCCCTGGGATGGATGGGAGGTTGGGTGTGGCTTCTCCCCTTTCTCCAGATATAGGAAGGAAAAAAAATGTGGAAATGGTGATTCCACCCACCTTTCTGTAGCCCTTGATCCTTATCACCCTAATCAACCACGCAAAATATCATCAAAAATAAAAATAACTAATAATGATACAAAAAAAAAACCAAAAAACCAAGTGAAGCAGACACCGCTTGAACAGATGGGGCCTATATGGGAGGCCTGCACCACAGGCAGTGGACTAACCCGCCATATCACCATTCCAGTCCTTTTAGAAAATAATTTATAACAGATCATACAGTCCCTAACTCGGGGAATATAAACTGGCTACATTGGTAATGTACAGTGGGAAAATAGAGTAACAGAAAAGACTATTTTCAGGAGTACTCAGAAAGAACTTCTCAGTGTTGTTTTAACTGGAGCACACTCTAAGTTCTGTGCCTCACGGCACAGTAGACTGATTTTGGCACCATTATTAAGGTGAGCTTCTCCATCAATGGTCCTGAAACAGGGGTGGGCTTCCACAGAGCAGACAGGGACCATTTGGACATCATTGGTACATGGGATTCAAGCACAGGCAGAGAGCACTCAATATTTAGGAAGGAAATACAGATAACAGGCATAGAGACAAATACTTCTCAAGGTCATATGATCACAGGGTCAGTGTCTTCTGGGGGATTTCACTGGCTTTTGTTTTGATATCATGGTGAAAATAAATTTGAAACTTGTATTCTGCAACAGAACAAAACATTCCAAAACAACGCATAGGTCTGTGAACTGTGTGACATCCACATCGTTCCCAACATTACCAAGTGATCCTTCCTTGGGACGTTGTGGAGGTTCACACCACCCACCCTTCACCCATTGCTTTCCCTGTGTCATGATTAATTTAACAGAAACAAGGGACAGTGGTAATTCTTTTTTTAAAAAAAGATTTATTTTCAATTTTTATTACAAAGTCAGATATACAGAGAGGAGGAGAGACAGAGAGGAAGATCTTCCATCCGATGATTCACTCCCCAAATGAGCGCAACGGCCGGTGCTGTGCCAATCCAAAGCCAGGAGCCAGGAACTTCCTCCAGGTCTCCCACGTGGGTGCAGGGTCCCAAGGCTTTGGGCCGTCCTCCATTGCTTTCCCAGGCCACAGGCAGGGAGCTGGATGGGAAGTGGAGCTGCCGGGATTAGAACCGGTGCCCATATGGGATCCCAGTGTGTTCAAGGCGAGGACTTTCGCCACTAGGGACCAACTATGCCGGGCCCAGTATTTCTCATATATTCACAACTTGGGAAAAGAAATTGTAGCTGCTCAATTTTGCTGGGTTTAATTTCCTGGGTTTGCCGAAAGCTAAAGCTGCTGAAAGCTAGCATTTTTTGCTTTTCTCTCTGCATCTTTAAACTCAGCTTGCAGGTTCATGCCTGAAGGCAGTGAGGGCCCAAGAACACTTTGCGAAGTGAGTAAATTACCCAAGTCCTTTGACACAAACAGAAGCACAGTTTCTGGGAGTCCAGGTTTACTTAGGTAGTTGTTTGGGGTGTCTTTTTTGTTTTTTTTTTTTTAACTTTATCATCACTTTAATATGATTACTTACTTTATTGCATCCCAATGCAGTGTCAGGATCCTTGGCTTTTTCAGCACCCCTTTTTATGCACCTGGGAAACCACCCACATTCGAGACCCGTATGGAATTGTAGTTCCTTGCTTTTGGCTGGCCTGGCCTTGGCCATTGTGGCCATCTGGGAAGTGACCAGCAGGCAGACAATATCTCTGTTTCCTCCCTCTCTGTAATTCTGCATTTGAAATACATAAATAAATATTAAAAGAAAAAAGAAAACCTTTCAAGCTTAGAGTTGAGTATCTAAGTTCACACGCCAATCATGAGAAAGCGAGCACTGCTATTTTCCCAAAATACTGAAGAGCAGCTCCAGGGTGTCAACAAAAGGCGTATGGCTGCAAAGTACTTAGCAAAGGTTCATATGACAGCGATGCCCAGCCAGACACACCCTGCTGTGTGTGCAAAGGGGAAGACGCTAGAGAGGGCACCAACTTCACACAGTCACCGCACATTTCCATACTTCGAATTTTCGGTAGTCTGTGAACACAAGATCTATTACACTAAGCTGGACTTTAGAGATTTGACATGTAGCTGGTATTTTCTTAGTGTGAGAAATATCAAGCTGACAGTATACTGTCTGCGATGACCCTCCAAATGCCAGGGTGCAGGGTTTAGTCATGGACTTCCGTGTCAGCTTCCAAGACATTCACACGGAGTTTTCTTATTTAAACATGTTAAATGAAGTATGAAAAGCAGGTTAAGAAATCAACAGAGAAAGGAAGAACACAGAAGAGCCATATTGACAAGAACATTTTAAATATGGTAATAGCTTGCCGTGCGTTTACATCACTTTCCAGGCAGCCGCTGCTGACAGCCGCCTGCCGCGACTCCCTCCCAGCGCTCTGACATGCTGTAATCTGCCCGTGCTGATTAGTTAACTCACATCACTTGCGTTGATTTTGGAAAATTAAAGTGGGATGAGGACTATTTCCATAACCCTGGCCTTCACATTATAACCAAATAATGCAGGGACTTTTTTTTTTTAATTTTTTTTTTTAAGATTTATTTTTATTATTTTTTCATTGGAAAGGCGGATATACAGAGAGGAGAGACAGAGAGGAAGATCTTCCATCCGATGATTCACTCCCCAAGTGAGCGCAACGGGCAGATACTATGCCGATCCGAAGCCAGGAGCCTCTTCTGGGTCTCCCACGCGGGTGCAGGTTCCCAAAGCTTTGGGCCGTCCTCGACTGCTTTCCCAGGCCACAGGCAGGGAGCTGGAAGGGAAGCGGGGCTGCCGGGATTAGAACCGGCGCCCATATGGGATCCCGGGCGTGCAAGGCGAGGACTTAACCACTTGCGCCACCGCGCCGGGCCCGGGACTTTTTAAATTAGAAATGTATCCTTTTGTTTGCCATTCTCAGTTGCTTATGAACTTACTGAGCTGCTGCTACTTTGGAGAAAACTCTTAAAAAGTCTTCTTTTTACATAAATCAGTCACATCAGAGATAATTACGAGTTTAAACAAGCCTTCATCTTTGCAATGGTGCGCACGGCAGTGCTCCTAATTGCTCGGGTCACCGTGACCCATGGCATCCTGGGAAAACGAGCACCCCCTGCTTTCCTCCCTGCACTCTGCATTTTAGATTTCCGTTCTGTTCTGGGAAAGGCAGCAGCATTTCCTTTTTCATATCTCCTTTTTTAGCAACAGTGTGAATGATGATGATGATGATGACAACTTGGATTCATCAGCGTGCCCAGATCAGCCAAGTTTGTTTTGGCTTCCATAGGTCAAAACTTGGGAGTCACTGGCGGGACACTTAAGGCCTCTGGCTTATCATATGAAATGTTCTTTCTGACATAAACAGAAGTGAAGAACCCTTCCTGAGCAAGGCCAGCTGCTTTGGGGGCTGCGGCATGCTAACTGACACTTGGAAAAAAAGAAGAAAAAGGAAAGCAGGCTGAACAGGCTGCGAAACAGGAACCACGTTCCACCCGCTGAATCCCTTAGCTCACACCCAGCGCACGTCCAGCTCTGGTACCCCACACAAGGCGGCTGCAACCCTTCTGCCCAGGTGCTGCGTTCAAGCAGGCTCCTAGGATTGCGAAACTTGAAGCAACAAGAACGAACACACACACACACACACACACACACACACACACACACACACACACACACACACACGAGAAAAACCATCCTTGGCTGGGATGGGAAGCGGGGCCAAGCCCTGCAGGCTTCTTTTTCTGGGGGACTGAAGAAGGCCCGGGGTCAGATCCGTAACATCCTAGTGGCCTGCATCAGCAAGTCGCTCCTGCACCTGTCAAGTCTGGGCCGAAGGGTGTGTACGAAGCTTAGAACTGAGACGACTGCAGCTCGGACTCCTAGAAAGCTACAAGCCAGATAGTCGCCCATCGCAGGCAGAGACCCAGGTGAGGGGCCTGGGCGTTCAGAGATCAAGCCTGACCTAAACGGCTAGAAGCTCGGGTTTGCAGCTGGAGCCTCTGGATGCAGGCGTCCGCCCCTGTGGCCGCTCGGTGGCGACGCGCGCCCCCCGGTGGCCGCTGGGCCGCAGCGCTCCAGGCGCGAGCCGGAAGGGGAAGTGCGGATGCGGCGGCGCTGGCGCGGCCATGGCGGAGCTGGTGCAGGACGAGCTCTCGGCCTTGGCTGCCATCTTCTGCGGGCCCCACGAGTGGGAGGTGCTGAGCCGCTCAGGTGACTGTCCCGGCGTGGGAGGGACGAGGCGCCCCCGCCGGACGGGGCCTGTGGTGCCCTCGCCTGCGCACGCCCGAGCCCGGGCCTGGTGTGATGCGCCCTGGGGTCGGGAGCTGGGTGGCCGCCGTGGGAGGACGGGAGGCCACCCCAGGTGCCCCGGGTGGGCGCGCCTGCCCCTCCGCCCACCGTGTCCGCCGCCTGCCCCTCCGCCCACCGTGTCCGCCGCCTGCCCCTCCGCCCACCGTGTCCGCCGCCTGCCCCTCCGCCCACCGTGTCCTCGCCTGCCCCTCCGCCCACCGTGTCCGCGCCTGCACGGCGCTCCCCCATGCTTACCTGTGCTGCTGCTTGTACTGTTAACACTGCGCTTGGAAACACTTTTCCAAGTCTAACGGGAGAGATTTGCTGAGGGATTTTTAAAAAGAAATCCCACCCTTGTCGATAGTGTTGCCGAGTTGATTGCTTTGGTGTTTTTTTCTCGCCGGCTGAGTCAGGCCTTGGAGGCCGTATTAGTCCTTAAGCCCACGTGTGTGGAATCCTCCCTCCCTACAGACTTCGACAAGCCTGTAAGAATTTAGGGTCTAGAAAGGTTCTTTCCACTATTTTTGGCAGTCTGTTCCCATGAGAAAGTACAGTGATGTAAATACTTGCGAATCCTCCCTTGGCTTGCTTTAAAAAATTTTTTTTGTGATTATTTTTTAAGAGTTATGTATTTGAAAGAGCTACAAAGAGGGAAAAAAATATATTTTTTAAGGATTTATTTCTTTGACAGGCAGAGCTACAAGACTGAGAGGAGAGCAATTTTCCAACCGTTGGTTTATTCCTCAAACAGCAACAGTGGCTCTGTGGAAGTCTGGAGCCAAGCGCTTGAGCTAGGTCTCCTGCTGGAATGGAGCGGCCCATTCTGCTTTGCTGCTCTCCCTGGGCACAGTAGCAGGGAGCTGGATTGCAAGTGAAACAGCTGGGAATCCAGCTGGCTCCTGTATGGGATGCTGGGGCTGCAGTTGGCTTACCCTTGTTTTGCTACAATGCCACTCCTCTTTCCCGAGCGTTCAGATAGATCCTGTACATTTGAGAGGGCATGGGGGGGACACCTTCTCATGTTGTAGTTGAACAAGAAATTGTGACCGTGAATTGGTTGAGCTTTAAGAAGGTAGTGCGCAGGGCCTGGTGTGATGGCTCCGTAGTTAAATCCTCACCTTGCAAGCACCAGGATCCCATATAGGTGCTGGCTCCTGTCTCAGCTGCTCCACTGCCCATCTAGCTCCCTGCTTGTGGCCTAGGAAAGAAGTGGAGGTTGGCCCAAAGCCTTTTAGACCTGCCCCCATGTGGGAGACCTGGAAGAAGTTCCTGGCTTCTGGCTTTAGCTCAGCTCAGCTCTGGCCATTGTGGCCATCTGGGGAGTGAACCAGTGAGTGGAGGCTCTTCGCATCTCTCCTTCTCTTTGTAACTCTTACCTACCTTTCCAATAAAAATAAATCTTAAAAAAAAAAGAAGGTAGTGAACAGTGCACGGTGTGATGTGTTAGTCACTCACAGGGCACCAGCTAAACCCTATGTGTGTGGTCCTTCTGAGAATTAACCATGCGTGTACACACAGACACCCACGCAGATACCTTGAGCCCTGTCATGTTATGGGTACACACATACACACACATGCAAATACTCACCTTGAGCCCTGTCATAGGCACACACACAGACACACACACAGCCCTGTCATGTTCCAGGTATACACACACACACACACACACACACACACACACACACACACAGAGCCCTGTCATGTTCCAGGTATACACACACACACACACACACACACACACAGCCCTGTCATGTTCCAGGTATACACACACACACACACACACAGCCCTGTCATGTTCTAGGTATACACACACACACACACACACACACAGCCCTGTCATGTTCCAGGTATACACACACACACACACACACACAGCCCTGTCATGTTCTAGGTACACACACACACACAGCCCTGTCATGTTCTAGGTACACACACACATAGCACAGCACTGTCATGTTCCAGGTACACTCACACACACAGCCCTGTTGTGTTCTAGGTATGGTGAACCTGATACTGCAGAGGAACCGCTCTTGGCAGGACTCGGCCCTGTGGGAATCGGGGTGCTGAAGCCGCTCCTGGGTTTGGGAGGGGCCGTCGCAAGATGGAGGCTAGCCCAGGGCCAGGAGGCGGAGTTAGTCTCGCCAGCAGGTAAACAGGAAGTCACAGGGATAGGCTGTTGCCCTCACTGCAATTATGTCATTGCTACTGGCCTATCAGGTAGCGCCAAGTGGACCCACAGGGAGAAGTGATTGGTGGAGAGCGGTATAAAAGCAGCTACTAAAAGCTAAGAGAGGATGGACGGGGAGAGGAAAGAGGGCCAGAACTAGAGGAGTGGGACTGCGAACAGAATGGGAAGAACGGAGCAGCAGAGAGGGGAAGAGGGGCTAAGATCTTCAGGTGGAAAAGCTAAGGCGTATGGAGAGAAAAGCAGCAGGGGGGTACAAAAGCAGTACAGAAGCAATATAGAGCTATGAGGAGAGGAATGGGAAGGAAAGTAGCGGAGAGAGGGCTGGAGAAGCGGGGAGGAAAGCTAAGACCAATGGGGAAAGGGGCAGCAGAGAGAAGGGTTTAAACGCGGCCGCTTTTGGCAGTGAGGGGTCTGGTTGTGGTTCCAGCTTCCCCCAGACCCTCAAGAGTGTGCCTCGTCGTTAGTGTCGCTGCTGGGCGGTGACACAGCCCTTGTCTTTATGAAGCAATAGTTTGGAGTCCTTAGTGAAAAGATTTCTCGCTTGCTTCCTTATTGTCCCTCTTTCCACTGGAAAACTCTCCTAGTTCCTCACCATCTCCTCTCCGCTTTTGTTGTTGATAATGACTTCTGCCTGAGGCAGCTGTTTGCAGGCATCCTTAGTTCTGAAGTTCTTTAGGAGGTTCAGTTGGGAATGTGCTGGGAGAATGAACCTGCAGTTTCCCAGCACACCTTGTGGAGCAGGGCGTGGTGGTGGCCTGGGTCGGGAGCGCACAGCTGCGTGTAGAGTCCTGTGGCTGGGTCGGAGAGGCCTGGCACACGCAGATGTGCCTAGAAAGAGCAGTTTCTTAATATTGAGAACAATGTGGGTCCTTTGTCTGCTGCTAAATTGAGCGTGGCTTTGAAGCCATGCCTCCTAATTAATTTAATTCCGTGCTCTGGCATCAATAAGTAATTGAATTATAAGAGAATTCAGTGTAACAGCTGAGGACATTTTGTTGCTGAAAGGTTTCTGTGTGAGGTAGAGCAAGTCAGTGGTTGGAACAGGTGTGTCTGATGCTCTCCACCAGGGCGTAAGGCTAAGGGAAGGCTTTCCGTAACAGACCGCACTGAGTGGGCTGCCGCTGTCCCTTTAGGCTGCGGGGGAACACGGTCTTGTCTGCTGCTTTCTGGCCTGCCCCTGAGAAATTTGTCCCTGTTGCTACTGGAACGTGGAGACCGCTTGACAAGGATTGCACTTCTGGCTGCAATACAGTCCAGGCAGGCTCCGGCTGCTGACGCAAGGCCACATGGTCAAGGTTACATGGTTAAGAAGGCTAGATAATTGGGTTTGGTTGAACTTGACACGTGAATGCCAAGAATTTTAGGGGTCTTGTCTACATTGTGGACTCCATGGAGGTTACAGTAAGCTCATGGTAAGAGGTCTAGTTGTAACTACCGAAAGGTACAGAAGACCCAAGTGCCCACACTCTGTGAGCCAGGGCTACCTGAAGACCTACTGAGGGCTCGACGGCCCCAGGCTGTACAGTCTGTGCTGACACCAGCTTTGGCATAGTCATTTACTGTGCACCTGGTACTGTCAGTGCACCCTGGCCTCTACAGTAACTCAGGGGCTGCACAGTGTATGGTGTTCCTTAGGAGAGAGAGGGCTGCTGGCGTGGCAGCTGAGAGAACGAGGGAGCACAGATAATACACTGCAGCGGCCTGTCCGAGAGGCATTTATGTTTCATGAACACTCATGCTTGGAGAGGACTGGGGCTTCCCGCAGCGAGAGTCCTGACTGTCTTTGAAATCTGCTCGGCCCTGCCTCCTGCCTCACTGCTGAGCCTGAGAGCCGCTGCCTGGCACCTTCACTGTCCAAGGGCGAAGGGGCCATGTCAACTTCATTTGCTCTTAGTTTCTTCTCTCCTCTGTGACCAACTTTTAGGCACCTGCCAAGTCCAGCTGACCGTCCGGGCAGGCCCTGGGCTGTGTGCTCTGGTGGTGAGCTACCTAGGAGCAGAGGGGAGGATGAGAGGGGCCAGGGCCTCTTAGTGGGTTTCTGCACATTCTGCACAGGGCTGTGTTCAGCATGCAAATGAGTTCTTCTGACAGTGTTTCAGCTGATGGAAGAGTGTGTGTGTGTTTGTGGGGTCCTATGTCCTATTTCAGTACATGCACACGTTGTGTAGTGGCCAGGCAGGGTGAAGGTTCCAGTGCCTGGGGCATTTACCATTTCTTTGTGCAAAATGTTTTCATCTAATCTTCTCTATTTTCAAGATTTATTTATTTACTTATTTGAAAGGAAGGTTTTACACAGGTAGAGACACAGAGATCCTCCATCTGCTGATTCATTACCTAAATGGATGCAGTGGCTGAGCATCTTTCCCATGTATTTGTTGGCCACTGTCAATTATTTTTGTAATGGACTCTAAGAACCATTCTCTTAACTTTTAGTTACCTTTTCCAGTTCCT